GATGGAAGAAACTTAAGACTCATACAACTTAGAATTCCTAATTTTTCCTTTATGTACACTTATAGGTAATTGTACTGAGAGAGAGATAAGGAAGACAGAACAGACAATGAAGAATATTCCCTTTCTGGAACTATTTCATTAAAGTTTGTCCCACAATTAAAAAAAAAATCTGTTTGATCTAAAAAAATGGGGAAAAAAACATCCAGCCCTTTCCACTTAGTGGACTCACAGCATAGATGAGTGGTTGAAGCAATCATGTAACAAGCAACCTTAAAGAAATGTGTTATACTGACCGTGCGTGGTGGCGCACATCTGTAATCCCAGCACTTTGGGAGGCCGAAGCAGGCAGATCACGAGGTTAGGAGATCGAGACCATCATGGCCAACATGGTGAAATCCCATTTCTACTAAAATACAAAAAATTAGCTGGGTATGGGAGCACACGCCTGTAATCCCAGCTGCTTGGGATGGGAAGCTGAGGCAGGGGAATCACTTGAACCCGGGAGGTGGAGACTGCAGTGAGTGGAGATCACACCACTGCACTCCAGCCGGGTGACAGAGTAAAGAAAATGTGTTATATTAGGCACCATTATACACTGTTGGTAGTAGTATAAATTACTACAATCATTTTGGAAAGCAATTTGGCAATATATAATGATATGTTTAAAAATATACATACCCTTTGACTAAAGAGACCTGTTTCTGAAAATCTATTCCAAAGACATCATATGAAATATGCACAGAGGTTGTCTTCCAAGTATTACTTACCATTATGAATGGAAAGCCTCATTTGTCTAACAACAGGGAAATGATTTAAAAATTATTCTACATCCACAAGACACAGAGTATTATAAAATTATTTTATTTTGTAATTTTCCTCTGTATTGTTTTTGGTACTATTGAGATGAAATGAATACATTTATAAAATTATTTTAAAATACTTACCAAAAATGCTTTTTAACTTTTTTCTTTTCCTGATATTTTTTAAATTTTAAAGTTAGATATACTCATGGTAAAAGACAATTCAAAAAATGTAAACAAAAACCAGAAATCTTCTCATTCTCTTATACAGTATTCTATCCCAAACTCCTAAAGGTAACTATACTGTTAAATTTTGTGGGTGTGTGTATGTTAAGCTCCTAGAATTCTTTTGTGGTATACACATATAAACTTATCAAACAAACATTTCTCTATGGATGAGTAATTTTTTGCTTTGTTTTTAATACAAGCAGACCAATTCTAAGCATATTGTTTTTCATTTTGCTGCTTACACTTATATTCTGACTAATGTTCCATATCGCACATATAGGTTTACCTTATTCACAAAAATGGATATTTAAATAAGTATCAGGCTTTAGATTGATATGTATTAAGGTTGCTTAGATTTTTCAGCTTACCAATAATGCAGTAATTAACATATTTGAATATATAACTTTATGTACTAGTGTTGTTACTATGTCAGTTCCTACAAGCAGAATTTCAACATTTTAGATACTGAAAGTTATAGCCAAATCATCCACCAAAAATACTGCATTGATATCATCCTCCTTACCTCTTCAAACTATTCTAAACACTAAATGTTACCAACTTTTAAATCTCTGCCAATCTGGAAGATAAATATTTTAATCTGTATATCTATAATTATGAATAAAGTTAAACCACTTTTCCACTATATGGTTCATTTTTTCTTTTCTTTTCTTTTTTTTGAGACAGAGTCTTGCTCTGTTACCCAGGTTGGAGTGCAATGGCATGATCTAGGCTTACTGCAACCTCCGCATCCCAGGTTCAAGCAATTCTCTTGACTCAGCTTCCCAAGTAGCTGGGATTACAGGAGTCCACCACCATGCCTGGCTAGTTTTTGTATTTTTAGTAGAGATGGGGTTTCACCACCTTGGCCAGGCTGGTCTTGAACTCCTGACCTCAGGCAATCTGCCTGCCTTGGCCTCCCAAAGTGCTGGGATTACAAGCATGAGCTACCATGGCCGGCCAGTTCATTTTTCTTATAGGCTTATAAGAGTCCTGACACAGTCAGGAAATTTACTCTTTGTCACATGTTGTATCTTACCTGGAGCTAAGACGAAAATAAATTTAAAAAAAAAAAGAAGAAATTTTATGTAGGCTTCAAAGGTCCTTCCCATTTCAAATATAAAAATAATACAGATGTATTTTATGACTTTGATCATTATATTTTTGTTAAGAGTTTTCAACAACTGTAAATTAAAATGTAGATATATCATTATTTGCTCAGCTGGAGTTCAATTACATAAAAGATAGAAAAAAAATACTACTATAGAAGGAAACAAATATTGCCAGTGATTACAGCTGAATGGTAGTCATATAGTTTTCTTTTCTGTGCTTTCCAAATTTTCTACATTGAACATACTTTCATAATCAGAAGAAAATAAACTTCCTTAAATTCATCATACTTAAATATTTTTCTTATGTTTTTGACAGTAATGGCTTCAATTATCAATCAATCATTATTTGAGTACCTGATCCAGCCTGAGTCTCTACAAGAAAAAAATGTTAATGAGTCAGATAAGGGTCTGTTGAAAGTAAGAATTACAGCTCCATTTGGGAAGTTCATAACAACAGTGATCACAATAATAGTTATATTAATATCTTTCAAGTACTAACTATGCAAGATATTAAAACTCAGTAATTTATCACAACATTTTTATAACATGAGTACAATATATCCCCATCTTACAGACTGGGAAATTAAGGCAAAGACAGATTAAAAAACTTTCTCAAGTCATGCAAACTAATAAGCAGCAGAGCCAGAATTGGAACTCAAACGATCTGGTTCCAGAATCCTCATTCCCAATTTCTTAAACTAAAGTGCTATTTAATGGGTGAACAGAAGAAATGGGAAGCTACTTCTGACAGCCTAGAAAGTGTTCTAGTCAAGAACGAGACTAAGCCAAAAAGGACTTGTAAGTAGATTTATCAGAAAAAAAAAAAAAAAGATGAGTTTTTAGGAAATATGATATGCCCTTATTTCTTTTTACAAATCTCCAGCTTGAAATGGAAGCTTTTTCCTCTTTCCTTATTTAGATAACATCTCTAAGCAGATCTCTCAGCTGAGGTTTCCCAACTATAATACCAGTGTACTGCCGTAAGATAACAATGCTCTAAAGAGCTGGGTAATAACAAATACTTGTCAAAGAACTATTGCTAACATTAAGGTTTTTTAAAAGTAAAAACTAAAGACTGGGCGAGGTGGCTTATACCGGTAATCCCAGCATTTTGGGAGGGTGAGGTGAGCGAATCACTTGAGGTCAGGAGTTCGAAACCACCTGACCAACATGGAGAAACCCAATCTCAACTAAAAATACAGAATTAGCCGGGCATGGTGGTGCATGCCTGTAATCCCAGCTACTCAGGAGTCTGAGGCAAGAGAACTGCTTGAACCCAGGAGGTGGAGGTTGTAGTGAGCCGTGATTGCGCCACTGCACTCCAGCCTGGGCAACAAGAGTGAAACTCTGTCTCAAAAAAAAAGAAAAGAAGAAAGACATATAAAGAAGTTTCTGTACATCGAACTTGGCTTTTGTATCTGTAAGCTTCTCTGAGTATCAATGGCCAAACTGAACTAGTAATATTTCTGAGAAAAAAGCCTTTACGTTGGCAGCAATTTTTTTTTTTTGAGACACAGTTTCACTCTTGTTGCCCAGGCTGGAGTGCAGTGGTGTGATCTTGGCTCACTGCAACCTTCACCTCCCAGGTTCAAGCGATTCTGGTGCCTCAGCCTCCCGAGTAGCTGGGATTACAGGCATGCACCATCACACCCAGCTAAGTTTTATATTTTTTAGTAGAGATGGGGGTTTTCATCATGTTGGCCAGGCTGGTCTCGAACTCCTAACCTTAGGTGATCACCTCATCCTCCCAAAGTGCTGGGATTACAGGCGTGAGCCACTGTGCCTGTCCTGTAGCTAATTTTTTTGTTTTTTTTGAGACAGAGTCTTGCTCTGTCACCCAGGCTGGAGTGCAGTGGCACTATCTCAGTTCATTGTGATCTCCACTTCCCAGGTTCAAGCAATTCTCCTGCCTCAGCCTCTCAAGTAGCTGGGATTACAGGCATGTGCCACCATACCTAGCTAATTTTTCTATTTTTAGTAGAGACAGGGTTTCACCATGTTGGCCAGGCTGGTCTCGAATTCCTGACCTCGGGTGATCCACCTGCCTCGGCCTCCCAAAGTGCTAGGATTACAGGCATGAGCCACCGCACCTGGCTGGCGGCAGCAATTTTTAAAACACAGTTTAATTACAGATGAATGGCTAGAGATGCCATTGTAATGAAAACAGCCACAAGTCTGAAACCCAGGAGCTCTCTACAATCTAATTTTGATGTTATGACTGTTTTCTATAGATTTACTATACATACTCTGGTTTCTCTTCAGATCATATAAATCTTTCGCCTTTTACAAAATTGGCCTCAATTTTTTAATCTACAAAATAGAGATTAAAGTAACTGCTAACTGCTGCTATGAAAAATGACATTCTATTAGAGACCAGGAGGGCATTTATAAATTGATAAATGGTTACCATATAGGAAAAAAACTGCTTAGGTTAATTTTTGAACACACAGTTTGGAAAAAACAAATGTAATGACTGATTAATATCTCTTGATATTATATATTGATAATTTTCAAATATAAGTATATGACCCACAGGGAAATGACAGAATGACCCCAAAGAGAAAGGAGGGACCCAGGAGAAGGTTAGCTAAAGGTTACACACACAAAAAAAATCTGGCCCTGTATTATAGTCTTTCTTTTAATTCCTCACTTTCGATCTCTTTCTAGCAGCCTTGAAGACTGACTTATTTGTGATGAAAACAGTAAATCTTAGGGGAGCAAGCAGTTGGTCATTGTGGCACTCTGAGGACCTTTAGTTTTAGAGGAAGAAAAACTGATGAGCTAAGAGCCCCAAGAAGGATCATAAATGGGGACAATAAACATTTCTGGAGATGTGGAATAACAAAGTAAAACTTATACTTACAAGTTGAGATTCACGAGCTTTAGGAAACATTTTGGCAACATTGAGGCCATCAATGACAATATCAAAAGGAGGACAAGATTTTACAAAGTTCTCAAATCTGTTAAGTTCCTAAAAAAGAAAAGTCAGACAAAACATTAACAAGAACTTAGTAAGGACTTTATTATAAACACACTACAATGACTTTTATTGTTTTGATAATTCAAAATATTCATCCCTTAAAAATACACACACACACACACACACACACACACAGAAATTCTCAAAATGAAACCTGAAAAAGCCAGTCTAGTGGATGCAACTGTATACAATTATCTAATGCATTTTTTTTTAAAGACGGGGTTTCACCATGTTGGTCAGGATGGTCTTGAACTCCCGACCTCGGGTGATCCGCCCACCTTAGCCTCCAAAGTGCTTGGATTACAGGCATGAGCCACTATGCCCGGCTTATCTAATGCATTTTATAATCTCAAGGTGCTTTACACTTCACAGAGCACTTTCATATGTAATTTCATTTGATCCGCGGCTTCTAAGTTAGCCCATATCATAGTTATGATCAGAATCAATTGTCAAAATCTCTTAAGTCCTGTTCTGTAAGTCAAGGAGAATTGAACCTTAGATATGCCACTCTATGAGTGTGACTGTGCTCAAAGAACATTATGTGTAGGTCCTCTTTTGTCACTAACAGGCTTTTATTTACTTATGGCTGTTTGGGAGAAGTAAAGATTCAACAAATATTTGCTGAGCACCTACTATATGCCTAACAGTTTACCAAAACAAAACAAAAAACTCTTAACTTAATGGAGCTTAGTGGGAGGATGCACAAAATAAACCAAGTAAATAAATAAATAATACTAAATGTGAGAATGCTATGGAGAAAAAAAGTATGGCAGGGAGATCCACCTCCGGAACAGTTTATATTGGATTACTAGAAAATAATATAAATTCTAGATAAATACCCAACTATTTGAAGTACCAAAGAATGAGCAAAAGCAGGCAGAAACTGGAGGGGACATGACATCTGAAAGGTTTGGTAGTTTTAAAATCTGTTTGAAAATTAATTGACACTCCTCTCTCAAAAGGTGGTGTCTAATACCCTATGCTTAAATATGGGCTCTCCTTTGTGACTGCCTCAAAGAACAGCATGAGGCAGAAGTAACATAATGTGATTTCTGAGGGTAGGAAATAAAAGATAATACAGCTTTCATCTGACTCTCACTCTCAGGATGCTTGCTCTTGGAAACCAGCATCCTGAGAATGCCCAAGTAGAGGTCACATGTAAGTGTTTCATCTGAGAGTCCAGTTGAGTCCCAGACAACAGCCAGCTAGCTAGCATTGATCCCCACACTGATGAGACTGAGGGGGATTTCAAGATGACCCCCACCCCCATTGGATTACAATAACAGGGGACCCAAGCAAGAACCACCAACTGAGTCTCATTAACCCCTAAACCCATAAGAAAGAATAATAATAATAGTAATAAATAATTATGGTTTTTAATGCCATTATATTTGGGGGGAAAAAAGGAAAGAAAATAAGGGAATTATACAAGGTAACATTTGCCGAGGTCAGAGGGCACTCTCCAGACAGTATGGCCAGCAGGAACAGCTGGAAATGAAGCAGAAAGCTGCAGAACTTCCTGGTTTGATGAAACAGAAGACAAAGTTTGGGGGCAACCAGAGGTTGGAAAATGACAGGGTTTTATCCAAAAATGGATAAAACCACAAAATTTGCATATAAATCTGACAAAATCCTTGGGTAAAACATGATCTGTACATGCTTGGAGAAGATTCCAAGGAGTCCAGCAAAAAAGCAATAGCTGAAAGACTTAAAAGACCTAAGCAGAGATTGCGGCTGCTACCCACTAAAAGGAAAACAGAGTTCGGAGTCTAAGTCTCCAGAAGTTTATCAGCCTGCTAAATCAGCAAAAAAATCAGTAATTTCCAGATGAACATAGATAATCTCTTAAGCCTCTGCAATGTGTCATTCACAATGTCTGATACACAATTCAAAATTAATAAACATAAAAAGAAATACAAAAATCTGATCCATAGTCAAAAAAAAGGAGTCAAAAGAAACCAATCCAGGCCAGGCATGGTGGCCCAAGCCTTTAATCCCAGCACTTTGGGAGGCTGAGGTGGACAGATTACTTGATGTCAGGAGTTCGAGACCAGCCTGGCCAACACGGTGAAACCTCATCTCTACTAAAAATACAAAAATTAGTCAGGCATGGTGGTGCACACCTGTAATCCCAGCTACTCAGGAGGCTAAGGTAAGAGAATCACTTGATCTCAGGAAGCAAAGGTTGCAATGAGCCAAGATCACACCACCGCACTCCAGCCTGGGCAACAGAGATTAACTCCATCTCCAAAAAAAGAGAAACCAATCCAAGGTCTAGATGCTTGAATTAGCGGACGAGAACTATAAAGTAACTGTTGCAAATATAATTAAAAAATTACGCCTGTAATTCCAGCACTTTGGGAAGCTGAGGTGGGTGGATCACCTGAGGTCAGGAGTTTGAGACCAGCCTGGCCAACATGACAAAACCCTGTCTCTACTAAAAATACAAAATTTAGCCAGGCGCAGTGGCATGCACCTGTAATCCCAGCTACTTGGGAGTCTGAGGTTGCAGTGAGCCAACATTGCACCACCACACTCTAGCCTGGGCAACAGAGTAAAACTTCATCACAAAAAAAAAAAAAAAAAAAAGCAAAGAGAACTTAGAGGTAAATATAGTCATAACGAATGCAAAGAAAATGAACAAAATGAACATTATAGAACCAAAAAGCACAAATGTGAAATAAAATATTCACAGGATGGATTTAACAGCAGATTGGAGATGGCAGAAGAAACACTCAATGAACATGAAAGAGCAACAAAAAATTATACAATTTGATGAAAACAAAAGGATGAATTGGGTCTCAGCAAACTGTGGTACAATATCAAACAGATCAACATGTGTAGTTACAGTCTACGAGGAAAGGATAGAAAGGACAGAGTAGTAAAAAGTATTTGAATGGCCAAAACATCCCCAAATTTCATGAAATACATAACTTCCCCAAGAAGCAGAGCAAACTCAAAGCAGAATAAACACAAAGAAAACCACAAGTAAAACTGTAACTAGGCACATCTAGTAAAACAGATGAAAATCAAAAATAGAAGAATCTAAAAGCAGTCAGAAAAAAGGGATATATTACATAAAAAGGAATAATGATACAAATGACAGTTTAGTTCTCATCAGACACAATGGGGCCAGAGGACATCTTTCAAAGGATGACAGACAACAAATAAAATAACAACAACAACAAAAACTGCTTTCAATCCAGAATTATATATCTAGTAAAAATATCCCTCAAAAATTGAGGCAAAAAAAATTAAGGTGACATAAAGACATATTCAGGTAAATGAAAATAGAGAACTCATCACCAGCTAGCCTGCAACACAAGAAATGCTGAAGCTGGCCAGTGCCATGGCTCATGCCTGTAATCCCAGCATTTTGAGAGGCCCAGGTAGGAGGATCACTTCAGATCAGGAAATCAAGACCAACCTTGGCAACATAGCAAGATACTATCTCTACAAAAAAGAAAGAAAGAAAGACAGCCAGGGGCAGTGGCTCACGCCTATAATCCCAGAACTTTGGGAGACTGAGGCGGGAGGACCATCTGAGGTTGGGAGTTCGAGACCAGCCTGACCAACATGGAGAAACCCTGTCTCTACTAAAAACACAAAATTAGCTGGGCATGATGGTGCATGCCTGTAATCCCAGCTTCTTGGGAGGATGAGGCAGGAGAATCGCTTGAACCCAAGAGGCAGAGGTTGTGGTGAGCTGAGATCACACCATTGCACTCCAGTATAGGCAACAAGAGTGAAACTCTGTCTCATAAATAAATAAATGACATACAACTACTTAAAGCAAAAATTATCATAGCACTATATTATGGGGCTTAAAACATATACAGATATAACATATGTTTTAAGCTATAATTAAACAACAGCACAAAGACCAGGAAGTGGTAAATAGAATTCTACTGTTCTTATATCTCATGTGATATGGTTCAATATAAACTCTAAGTAGAATGAATTAAGTTAAGGATTTAGACTGTAAAGCCAAATCATACATTTAAAAAATAACAGAGATCTGTAGGCCAGAGTTAATAAAAATTTTAAAAAGTTAAAAAAATAATGTAAAAAGGTATAGATAAAATAGAAGAATTAAATGAAAAATTAAAATAAATTGGATTAACCCAAAAGGAGACATGAAAGGAGCAACAGAAGAACAAAAAACAGATGGGATAAATAGAAGACAAATAGCAAAATAAAATGTTTAAATCCACACTTATAAAAAAATGCTATCTATAATAAATGTACTTATCTTTCATACAGAATAAGTGGGAGGTGAAAAGTAGGGGAAAATATGTATCATGCATCAGTAAGCTTAAGAAACTTGGAATGATGACACTAATGTTAGATAAAATAGACTTGAAGAAAAGGAGTGCTATAAAAAATAATAAAAGGGACATTTCATAATGATGACAGAATCAATATATCAAAGTCATATCATATATAATAATAGAGCTCCAAGATGTGGACAAAGCAAAAGCTGACAGAACAAAGGAGGAATAAGTAAATCTACAATTATAGATGGAGATTTCAACACCCTTCTCTGCATAATTGATTGAACAAGTAGATAAAAATCAGTGAGGACTTAGAAAACAAATCCATACTATATCGCAGGATACTATGCCCAGCAATAGCAGACTACATATTCCTTTTCAAGTGCACACTGAACATCTACCAAGACAGACCACAAGCTAGGCCACTGATATGGTTTGGCTTTGTGTCCCCACCCAAATCTCATCTTGAATTGTAATCCCCAGGTGTTGAAGGAGCGACCTGGTAAAAAGTGATTAGACCATGGGGGCAGTTTCCTCCATGCTGTTCTGGTGATAGTCAGTGAATTCTCATGAGATCTGAAGTTTTTATAAATGGTAGATTTTCCTGTGCTCTCACATGCTCTATTGCCTGCTGCCATGTAAGACATGCCTGCTTCCCCTTCTGCCCTCATTGTAGGTTTCCTAAGGCCTCCCCAGCCATGCAGAACCTTGAGTCAA